AAACAATTTAGGGGAGATAGTATCACCCTGTCTAATTCCACGTTCTAATCGTAACTTCTTGGTATCTTCATAAAGGCGGACACAAGTACCAGTTTCGTAAATACTTTTAATAAAGGCAATATATCGGTAGTCATGAGCCATACGACAAATGCGAAAGTCTTGCGGAGGATGAATAAGGAAAGAGAGCTTATAATAAAATAACGGAAAACACAATATTTTGGTCACATCATAAGAAATCAAAAGTATAAACTGCTCCAACTTATAATCGAAGACAAAGTCAATAGCAAAAGAGGACCAGGAAGAAGACGCAACTCTTGGCTTAAAAACCTTATTAAATCTAGCGTATTATAACCGACACATTCTGCGAATTGTTTGAAATTTTAAATTTACAGTTGGTTCCGGCATATTCTTTTATTATCTAAATAACTTTCAGAATGTTAAGTATTATCCAATAATCTGTCACAGCTTTTCAATTTTGATATGCTTATCACCGAACATGTAGGTCAAATAATAAATTAAATGATAAAATAACAAATACACTTTCAAAGAAAAATTATATTATTTTCTACATAAATTCTAGTCTCTAATTCCAATTCGTGTAATAGCTTGCTTCTTACTTGAGGGTAATAATAAAGTTTGCATACTGCAAAATTTAATTTAGCCGCGTATTTTCCCGGCGTTGCTCGAAACTTTCACTCAATTTCTTGTCGACACTCCGGCATTATGAATCGCTTATAAATTATGTTTCTAAAGAGAAGAAGACATTCTTGCGTAACTAACTTAACTCGAAACAGCCCCTGCGAGACGTTCGACTGCGGTTTTCTTCTTGTTTACACCGTTTCCCAACAGCGCGACTACGAAAATGATGAAAAAGCGATAAAAAAGCGCAGCGCGAGTGACTAAAGAATTTCTATCGCAAAAAGTTCAGACTAAATAAAAACATTAATATGAGTAAGAATATGGCAAGAAAAATGATTATTAAAAAACTACAATTTTACGCGACCAATTTTAATGACATTGACAGTTTTTATGAGTGTCTTATTTTTAATAGGAAAATCCAAACATTCAATGGCATTCGAAAGTATTTAAGTGAATTGCTTACCTATAACCTATAGAAACCATGAATTAATTAGTGGCGACATAAAAGCTATGTTTCTTTCATCCAATATGACGTCTTTCGTCCAACTCCTAGACCAAGGCGTTATAGAAGCAATGAATAGGAATGATTGGCGGAGGCTTCTTCAGGTACTCCTAAAGAAGCTGTATGAAGGGCTGACTTTAATTGACGCATTTAAGAAGATCACGGTTATTAAAGATGTTTGCTATTGAATTGCATCTGCATTGGACGACGTAAAAGTGTCTAACATTGAAAAATCATGGAAAAAATTATTTCAGAAAGAAAACAATATACTGAACCTTCAAAAAACTGATGACTTTAAAGTTAATACTATAGCTTACCTTCTTCTTCTTCTCGTGCCACTCCTAGCGGAGATTGGAAATCATCATGGCCACTGCGACTTTGTTAGCAGCGCGCCTGAAAACTTCAATCAAACTACACCTGAACCATTCACGTAGATTACGAAGCCACGATATTTTTCTTCCTAGAAAAATATAGCATACCTAGCCAGTTGGAAACAAAGACGTCATCGATTAGATGAATTGAGATGAAGAAATAAAAACTGAGAGTTGACGCAATTTCCGATGATTTAGTTCTAAACATCAACCATGAACAAGAAGAAGGTAAATAAAAGATAACTCAAAAGATTTCTCATTCCGATGGGTTAAAGGCCCTTGAAGCACCTCTTGCATACAACGATCAGCAAGGGGAACCGACACTTGTAGATGTACTTCTATTTTAACGTTGGCGCAACATAGTTGCTTTAAAAAGAAGATAAAGCAACCACTTTTTTAAACAGTGATTGATAAGGTAAGGTAAATGTTTTTATCTTTATTAACATTCTTCTTCTTCTTCTTTTGGCATCATAACCCTGGATGGGTCTTTGCCTGTCTGACTATGTACTTTCATTCAGATTTCTCTTGTGCCCTTGTGCCTGTTCTCCATTGTCTTATTTTCATTGTTTTCAGGTCGTCTTCCACGTCATCCAACCATCTCGTTCTGGGCCTTTCTTTTTTCGCCTTCCTATGGGCTTCCATGGTAACATTTTCTTTGTTGTTTTTGCATCGTTTTGTCTCTGCACATGTCCCAGCCATGACAGTCTTTGACTTTTCACAAATCTTACAATGTCATAACCTTCATTTAACTCATTAACCTCGTCGTTTCTCCTGATTCTCCATGTGCCATCTTCCCCTTGTACCGGGCCATATACTTTCCTCAGTATTTTTCTCTCGAATGTCCTGATTTGGACTTCATCTTTTTTCGTCATTACCCAAATTTCACATCCATAGGTTACCACGGGTCTAATCAGTGTTATGCAGATAGCTATTTTGGTTCTTTTGTCTAATAATTTCGATGTCATCAATCTTTTATTAGCATAGTATGGACGATTCCCGCTGAAAATACGTGCATTAATTTCGCTACTTACGGAGTTCTTCTGATTGATTTTTGTACCGAGATATGTAAAGGCATTCACTCGTTCGATAGTATAGTTGTCTATTGTGATATTATTTTCATTGTCAGACCTCTTTTTCTTGTTTCAGGATCAATTTGTTTGAACACTACCATTAGTCGTGTACTGATTTAGTGTTTATATGGCCGGTTAGATTGGTTTTTCTGATGACTGCCTCAAGAACTAGGTTGAATAGCATGGTTGATAGGGCATCTCCCTGTCTTACTCCCATGTTGATGTCAAACAGGGGAGTCAGTTCTCCATCTACTCTGACTGCGGCTTTTGAACCCCGCAACGTCATTTTTATGAGGCTAATGTATTTCTTAGGTATACCTAGATTGCAAAGGTCTTCCAGCATTCTGTCTCTTTTCACACTATCAAAAGCTTGTTTAAAGTCTATATACATATTATATAGGTCTATGTCGTATTCATAAGCTTTTTCTTTTATCGTTCTTAGTATGAATATGTTATCTGTAGTGGCTCTATTTGGTCTGAATCCATTTTGATAATCACCAATTATATTTTCGGAGTATTCTAATAATCTATTGTAGATTATAACAGAAAGAATTTTGTATATTACATTAAAAAAATGTAATTGTCCTTTAATTCTGGCATTATCTCTAATCTCATTTTTTAAATATTGGCTGTATGGGGCCAACTGTCCATTCCTCTGGCATTTGCTCCTTCGTCCATATTAATGTTATTAGGTAATGGATTCTTTCCCAGAGTTCGGATCCTCCATGCTTTAAAAATTCTGCCGAAATTCCATCAGTTCCTGGTGCTTTATTGTTTTTTAGTTTATTTATTATCTGAACTACTTCTTTATAACTCGGATTTTCGATGTGCAGCTCCGCCGTATAATATATTGTCTCGTTCTCGTCATTTTCGTTGTCTGCATTTACATTTTCTTTGAAATATTGTTTCCATCTCATTATAATTTTTTACTTTTCTGTTACTAGTTCTTCGTCCTTGTCTTTGCATATCGTTAGTTTTGGTCTAAATGACTTTTATGCATTTATAGAATTTTCTGCTTTCGCGTCTGTTGTTATGCTTTACGATTTCTTGTACTTGTTTTTTTCATAGCCTCTCTTTTCTTTCTTCTGCATATTCTAGTCGCTTGTATTCTTTTTTCGTTATAAATCTCACTGCTATTTCTTGTATTTCTTTAAAGTTGGTTAAGCCTAGCTTGCCTTTTTTCCTCTACTGCACTTCTGCATTCATCATCATACTATTCAGCATTTCTTTCCCTTTTGGCTTTTCCGACAGTTTCCTCTGCTGACTCCGTTATAATTGTTTTTAATTGTCTCCATTCCTCCCCTGCAGTATCTTCCTCTCTAGCTCGGTTAAGTTTTTATTTGGAGAGCATTTCTGTAATATTGTCTCTTTGTTGCGCTTTTGAATCCTTCGACATTCCATTTTTTGATTCGAATATTTTTCCCTTTTGCTACTGTCGGTATTTTCTGCAGTAATTTTGCCCCTACAAGATAGTGATCTGAGTCAGAGTTCGCCATGCCATACGTTCTGACATTAGTTATGTCTGTTGCCCATCTTTTTGCGATGAGTATATGGTCAATTTGATTGGTTTCGTTAGTATTTTCCATGTTCCTTTATGGATATCTTTTCTCTGGAAGTTAGTACTGACAACTACGTAATTATTTGCTTCTGCGAACTGTGCCACCCTGAACCCATTTTGACTGGTTTCAGTGTGCAAACTGTATTTCCCAAATATATTTGCAAACGTTTCTTCTTTCCCCCTTTTCCCCAGTTTAGCATTAAAATCGCCTAACGTTATAACAGCATCGTGTCTTTGGATTCTATCACATACATCCTGTAGTTCTCCGTAGAATCTTTCAACGTCTTCTTCATTAGCCTGTTGTATAGTGCATAGACATTAACCATTGTCACGTTATGAAATTTACCTTTAAATCTTATGGTGCAAATTCTATCTGATCTTCATTAAAGTAACTACGGTTATTGTGATGTACTTGTTTTTATATTAGTGCAACCGAGTTAACTGTAATATTATTTTACCTAACAAAAAATATATTGAATATAATGTTCTAATATTTTATGTCATTTAATGCAAAATATTTTTTTCTATTTGTCCGTCGAAGACCCCTTATCGTCAAGTCACAGACCCCACCAATGCTTAACGCGGCTCTGTGCATAAAGTACTATTCACGTCCGTCATACGTATTCTAAACAAATGACAGCTTTTTCATCAACAACTCATAAACTGGTAACAAAACGGCTCAAACCGATATACAGTTAGTGATCGCCATTGGCAATCAATTTCGTATTTTCATTCACGCTTCAGTTAACCACCATGAAAATTTGTGTCCGTATTTCACTGAATTTTTCAGGCGGAAGGTTATGACTTATTAGCGAAAGGGAAACATATTTAGGCCAGGCCTTACAAAAACTTTTAGAACAATGGTAACAGACTTTATTTTATCTAGATACACATTATTTTACATACTTAAGTTAACTGTTTTAACTTAAAAATATTGGGAGACCTATATCAAAAGCGAGATCTTTCTTTTTACTGACCTGAATAGATGCTAAACATTTACCATAAAAATATGTTAACATAAACAGGCAGTATACCAGATTTTTAACTTTTTTATGAAATCTCAATCTTTTTCAAAAGAAATAAGCCACTATTCCAGAAATAACATTTAAAAGCTTATTTTGCATTCAGACCTATCCAGAAACAAAACGTGTTTACAATTTGAGGCAAAATTTTCCAATTTATGTTGCAGTGTTGCAGCGAATTCCACTTGAGATTTGGCACACCTAGATCGGACACCTACACTCGATGCGACAAGTTTTATGTTAAGCTGGTATATGCCAAATCTGAGGCCGAAATGCAGAGACTTGAAATCGAAAGCAAGCTACATCATTCAGAAGCAGAACAAGAATATGCTGCCTTAAACGAGGAAATAGAATTAGCTCAAAATAATCCCAATATTATTGTTGTATGTACAGATCTACAGCAGGCACTATTTTTGCCGACGCTAAAACTTTTTAATATGATCTACAAACGTCAATATTTATGTTTAAATCCATAAATCCACAAAATTTCAGCAAAAAGAGGTTCAGCTGAAACAACATCCTGCTTACTGATGTTTATTACCACTAACTTTAAGCCCATAGAAAATTAATTGTTTGGTCACCAGTACCTGGTTACTATGAGATATTTTACATCTGTGGGGCAAAAGTTTTTAATTAGCGGACACAGCTTCTTGCCTTGCGATAGGGATTTCACTATTATTGAGCGTAAGAAGAAAACAGCAGCAGTGTATTATACAAAAGATTAAATTGAAGTTATAGCCAATGCAAGACCCTCTAAGCCATTTATTGTGTGTTTTCTTGAGACACTTTAAAGACTTAAGACGAGTCAGCTTTACTGAAAAACTAGACTAAAATAACTGAAGCGGTACGATACAAAGTGAACAGTGATGATCCTACAAATTATTATGTCAAGAAAGCCTTCCCATCTCTTGAATAAAAAAGAAAGAGAACTTAAATCATTTTTGCTGCTAGTTGCTATTGATACTACAGATCATTTGCCAGTAAAGAAAGAAAAAAAAAGAACTTAGTGGATATGTCGCACCCTCAGTGCAAGACTGCTGTAACTCAAATTTTATGAAAATGAAGTAATCATGAAAGTCGATTGTAAACATGCATAACTATCCCCTGTAAAACTTTAGTAACTTTCAAATGCTTAACCGGCTAAATATTACAACAATAACAGTTTAACTATTTTGCGTTTTTGTAAGTAACCTCCGTGCAAAACTGTTATACAACAGTTTTGCACGGAACATTGCAATGGTTTCAATAACAAAAAAAGTAAAATTCCACGAGGAAACTAAGTTCCTGTAGCTGGCTGTATACCATATATCACAAAAATTTTTTTTTTAAAATCCTTTATAAAAGGTATATAAAAATGCCCCAAACGGGCTATCACAAACACATTGCAAAACGTTTTCGGATTAAACAATCCATCATCAGTGCAAACGGTTGTACAAGCTAGTAGCCACCAAAATATATGGGTCAAAACCCTTTAAATGTTTTAAATTTGTAGTTGTTTTTACATTACAAATACTAATAATGTAAAACAATTACAAATTCAAAACATTTAAAGGGTTTTGACCCATATATTTTGGTGGGTACTAGCATGCACAACCGTTTGCACTGATGATGGATTGTTCAATCCGAAAACGTTTTGCAATGTGATTGTGATAGCCCGTTTGGGGCATATTTATATACCTTTTATAAGGGATTTTAAACAAAAAAAGTAAGATATTTGTTATTTTAATATCAATATCTGTGGTGTTTAATTTTAATATACAGCGTGTCTACGTAATCCATTAACGGCCGAGACAATAAACAAAGATATACGAGAACAACCTATTCATCTAAGTTTTATGTCGTTTGTGACAATATATTTTCCATAAAATGTGTGCGATATCGTTTGACTTTTTTTATTAGATTGGATTAAAACACATAAATTAAGACTAATTATTTACAGCCAAAAAGTATTTTTCCTTATGAAAGAAAAAACAGTTATCCTAAAACTTGTGTATTAAACAATACTGACAGGTTACTAATATCTATTCTCAGAAAACTTGTTCTATAAAAACTAAATCCAAAATTGTATTAAATCTTCATGTAACGTTCCGGAGCGATTTTCTTATCATATTGTCCCCCGGTAATTCCCAACTTTTACTAAGGTAGTGAATTTTAATCCTATTGTTAATCACTGTACTCAAGGTAGCTTGATTTGCGTATTTTTATTATAGTCCTTTTGTTTTGAATTTTAATAAAAATTTATATTTTTGACAAAATATAAAATATTTTAGCCCAAGATGATATACGAGAAGAAGACAACTACTAACAGAAAATGTGTCTACACTTTTTGCAATTTTCTCGTGCAAAAGTGTTGTTTTTCTTAAAACTTGTGTCTTATTTCACCGATATTAGCAGGAAAATACACAAAATCGTCTTTATCTCGAAACTTACTTATTTTGACTTACTGCAGTCTTGCACTGAGGGTGCGATGTGTGCTTATATTTCGAATCCAGAATATATTGAATTTTATTTAAACCTTACTTCAACGGCAAATTAAAAAAAAATTATTATCTTTGTTAATAAGGTAGGTTTTTATATAAAGAAATATAGGTAGAGGTGTTCCTTGAAAAATAAATATCATTTTCTTAAAAAGCAGTCATATTTTGTTGCAATCGCCCAGCGCTTCCACATTTTAGTCTCATATTTGGTGGATGAGCTTCCACCAAATTATTTATATTTATATAATATGTGTTTTATTGTTTTAAGCTATCATGTTCTAAAAGAAACTTTTTTGTTTCAGATTTTTCCTTAAGTTTTTTCTCAAGTGTAATCAGAATTGTTTGAAAAATGCTGGAAATCCAAGGGATATGCGGAGGTTTCAAGTAAGTAGTAAATCATTATTTTTTTTTTCCAATAAAAAAATTTCTTTAGACCAAAGGGAAAAAATAATTGTGTTTGCTTGTGTATGTCTAACCAGACTTTTCCTCTAACTTCTTCATTTTGCACCTACTATTTTGTCGTAATTCTAAACAAAAATGACGAATTAAATTTCCAATACTATTTTGTTGATCAAAATTGATCAAACACATAGCAGTCCATAAATCAATTTATGATTATTTGTACGGTTTATAAGAGGTTTATTATTATTAATTAAAAGGCGAAAAAATAATAAAAAAGGTATAATAGCCATAGACGTCCAAAAGACTTTCGATCAGGTCTGACACGCAGGTCTGATCGAAAAACTCCGCCGCTTTGGACTGTCAACCACATTTTTAAAAAGTGAATACACTCATATCTCTTTAATTGTACCATAAGAGTTATAATTTACAACAAATTCTACATCCTATTTACTCCACAAGCTAGAGTGCCTCAAGGCTCAATTTTAACGCCAATCCTTTGGCAATAAAGGATTGGCGTCGCTAGTATAAACACAGTTTATACCAGCGAACTTCCCTGCAACAATGATTAAAATGAAACCAGTCTCCCCTATGCAGACGATACTGCACTACTCTCTTTAGGTACAGTTGATGAAATGATGAGAAACCGCTCTGAGTTTAACAGGTTACAGACTCAATTTAAAAAGATCATCAAATGGTGCAACAAATGGAGAGTCACTCTCAATCCAACCAAGACACAAGCGATCCTCTTTAGGTATCCGGGTACTTTCTGGTTTAAGGACGAGGGCAACCTGATATAACTCTATGGAGTTAGACTTTCTTCTCAAAGTTTGATCATTTACTTTGGAGTTCAATTTTAGAGGGACCCCAATTGGGATTCGGAACTAAATCTGACTCTAAACAGAGTTAAAAGAAGGGCTAGATTCCTAGGAGCTCTGTTAGGCAGATTTTGGATACAAAAATTCTCCTGCATACATACAAAACCAACATTAGACCAATTATTGTAAATAGGGCTATTCCTTACTTTACACTGTACAACTGCCACAAAATCTTAAGAAGGAGTATTAGGAAGCGTGCTGACTATTTATCAGCATTAATCTACCAACTTGCAAATATACTTACAATAGAGAGTAGAATCCGAACGTTTGGCGAGAGATACGTCCTAGCTTCAATATTAGAGCAAAAGAGGTCCTTAAAATATCTTGCTACCGCCTAGGACACCATACTTACAAGGTATCCCGCAAATTAAGTTCTCTTCCTCCTGGTCGAACCCTTTAATTTGCCTGAAAACGAACTTCCTGATGGATATTTTAATTATCTAGAAGTGATGCCACTAAGATATTGCAGATTTTAAAAATCTGCAAGTCAAAAATGCTCAATTCAAAGAGCCTTTCCCAAATGTCTAGCTGGTAACATGCAAAAGTACCTGATAGTGTGGCATGGCTAACAAACTTCCTTAATCACACTCACACTGACTGATTACTGCTTCTTAGCAAACCACTAGTCTTCTAAATCTCTTCTTCACTAACACAAACTGTTTTCTCAGACTAACATCTGCTCTTGGCCAAACTCTCTTCCTATCAACGGTGTAAACGAGGTTTAAACAACTTTACACATGCACCTTAATTTTAAAGAAGAGCTACATAATAAAAAATGAGTTTTTTTTTAACTACAGCATTGTACCCCTACAGGGTATTGTTCTGAAATAAAAAGAAATAAAAAGAAAAACAAATCTATAACTATCATAAAATAGTAATTCTAAACCTAAATCATATTATAAGGGATAGAAAAATTTTATGTAGGTATTATCAAATTTATTGCAAGAAAATTTAATCATTAGAAAAAGATAAATAAGATAGTTAATTGAAAACTAAAACCCACCAAAAGTATATGCTTTTCGTTTAAACTAGTATTTTTTTAATATTTTATATTATATTTCCTAATGATTGGTAAATTTTTGTGACTATAGTAAGGCTAAGTTTTATATATTTATGTTTTTGCTACGTTATTTCTGTAAAATATTATTTTTAAAGTTTCCTATATTATCTCCTGGTTTTCTATTTTTATGTTGTTTTGATAATCTAACATTTGCTTTTCTGTTACTAAAATAACGTCCCTTATAATTTTTTTGGAAAGTTCCCGTTGTCTCTTGCCTTCTCCTCTCGGTTGTTTTCTGGTCTGATCGTGTTCGTAGTTTTGTTACTGATAGTCTTCCTATTGGTCAACCGTCTCTTGCCGTCTTTAGTATTTTATTTATTGTAATTCGGCATATATTCGTTTAATTATATAATACTCCTCTATTTCTTACCTAGTTTTTGATGTTCTTTACTTTGCATCTAAGTCATATAACTGTAGTTCTAACTCTGTCAGATAGTGTATTACTATCAATTTTTCTAATTGTTTTCATCAATGCTGTTTCTATCATCATTTTTGTCCTCTCTGTGTCAGGTCTTGTTTCAATATGTCATTATTGGTCTGATGACTGTTTTGTAAATGCTGCCTTTCAT